GTGCCCCTGTACTCGGCACTGGTGAGGCCGCACCTCAAATACTGTGTTCAGTTTTGGGCCCCTCACTACAAGAAGGACGTTGAAGTGCTGGAGCATGTCCGGAGAAGGGCAACAAAGCAGGTGAGGGGTCTGGAGAGCAAGTCTTATGAGGAGCGGCTGAGGGAGCTGGGGTTGTTTAGCCTGGAGAAAAGGAGCCTGAGGGGAGACCTCATTGCTCTCTACAACTACCTGAAAGGAAGTTGTAGCAAGATGGGTGTCAGTCTGTTCTCCCAAGTAACAAGCGATAGGACGAGAGGAAACGGCCTCAAGTTGCACCAGGGGAGGTTTAGATTGGATGTGAGGAAAAAATTCTTTATTGAAAGAGTGGTTAAACATTGGAAGAGGCTGCCCAGGGAAGTGGTTGAGTCACCATCCTTGGAGGTATTTAAAAGACATGTAGACAAGGCGCTCAGGGACGTGGTTTAGTGGGCATGGTGGTGTTGGGTCGACGGTTGGACTCGATAATCTTAGAGGTCTTTCCAACCTTAATGATTCTACAAAAGCCATTAAGTGGTAGTGCTTAACAGAATAAAACTACCAATAAATGCCAGTGTTTAGGAAGTAACTTCTGCCTAAGCAAACAGCATTGTTTACTTCATGAGCTTAAAATATTCTCACCCTCTTCTTCCTTTACTCACGGGATTTTCCTCTCCATTAGAAATTAGCAGATAAGAGCGAAGAAAGGGCTGTAATTTTTGCAATAAGCCTTCCTTAGCTCAGTTCCTAATAACAAGTGCAAGTAAATACACACATGCATGCACTAGGGCTCAAATGTTATCAAGCTCTTATGGGACAGAAGGGATAGCTTCATGATGGTACTTATTCAAAACACAAAATTTTATAGTTATTACTTGCTTCTGAAATAATGGCAAATACCATTAATCCAAGAACCCAAAAGCTACAGCATATAAGAAATACTTAAACCAAACCTAAACGCAAAGCTAAGTGAAAAATGTTACAACAAAATACAGCTTGAAGTTTCCTTACACTATGAGCGTTCAGCAAAGTCGATCTTTGTATTACCCCACAAAAATCTTGTGACTAAAAAAAGATGCATCTCGCTCATAATTCAACTTAACTGACAATAACATATCATCTTATTTACAGGAAAAGCAGGAAGATCTGAATGCCTATGTGCTGGTTAATCCCATTTTAAAAACCTGTACTGTAGAAGAGTAGTAACACATCACTAAAGCAGATTCAGAATCATCTGACCAACGGATCTCAAAACAAAGTAACCAAAGGGAAATGATTGCTGATTGGAAAGGCTCCTGGCTGGATTTATGGAATGTCATCAGGCATATTTACTCACAAGTGCATACAAACTCACTGCAAAATAAATTTGCAGACAGCCAAGGGTTAGTAAGAGTGGCAAATGAGGATACCAAAAAGTCACAGGGACCCATGTGGTGTATGCTGGTAAAAAAAGTACACCTCAAAGGTAACAAAAAGACAAATAAAAGCTACCCAAAGTTGTATTTTATACTCTCCTGTTTTGAAAACGTACCTGTTATTCATAAATTTGGGCCTTAGCAGAACGGAGAGGCATCTTCATAAGCAAAATAAGCAATTCCAGAGATGGAAAATAATGCCCTTGATATGAATGCAAAACTAAAATCAGCATCTTATAGAGAACATAAAGCACTGAAGGAAGGAATATGTAAGTCTGCACAGTTTTGAGAAAAACTTGGAATACAATCTAAGCTTCAATGTTTGAAGATATATGTTTGTAAATGGATCTGTTTTATTAATGCAAAATGCTGGCTTCATGTTTTGATAGTTCAGATTTTGAAAGACAAGTCACAAAAACTGTCAGTGAAAGAATTTCAACATCATGATCAGAAAAACGAATTTAACTTCTATATGGCAAAAAGGATTCTGAAAGAAAGTTAAAAGTGCACAAAGCTACTGGAAAAGTGAATATTACTTAGTCTCTGAAAGCACTGTGTATCCTGAGATAACAATATGGTCAGTTGAAATTACTGCGGTTTTTTGGCATTAAAATCTATCCACTGATGATTCAGGAGTGCCTTTTTTCAAACATTTCAGCTTTGTAAGCTATCACTAGAGGTGCATTGCTGCTGGTTTACTAGGAATACTGTAGAGCAGGAATCTTTATTTATTACTTGTTCACGTAGGTATTTTGAAGAATACTTTCCTTGCCGCTTCAATTTACAAAAAAGCAAACAAAGCAATTCTTCCTACCTAAAATTCAACCCACCCCCTTCTGCTTTCTAATAGGCCTTTCAGAAACAGCTTGAGTAAACTAAAGGCCTTACCAGGTGCAGGAACATTTAACACTGCTTTTGCAGGACCAAAGGATTGTCGAAGAAAATCTCAGGACTTCAGTAATCTTGGATATAAAGGATAGTCTAGGGACATAGTGACTTTCATTTTGCAAGAGTATAAAGAGAATGTCAGTCTAAGGCAACCCAGCTAAACAAAACCTAGAATTTATCTGACAATTGAAATAAAAAGATGTATAGATTAAAATAATTTTGAACTGTGCCTATAAGAAAATCTCTAAATACTGTTTACAAAAAAAAAAAAAAATTGAGTTTTTACTATAACAACTTACCTTTAAATATTTTTTCTAGTCTATCTTCAAAATTTTGACAGAGAATATAGTAATTCAGAATCATTTTTAAAAGCCACTATGTAAGCAAGTAATTTCTACTTGCGTGAGACATCACAGCCACCACAAGTTAACGTGCAGGAAGTGCTTTCACAAAACCAGAGCTACTTCATCCAGTAAAAGAGTAGTTCTTAGACTGACACAAAGGAAAAAATATCCCACTCAGCTTCTCAGTGACATATACCTGCAGTACTGGACTGACGGTGTAGATTACTTACATTTACTTACATCAATCATCTGGAAAAAAACACAGTTTACTAAATATAAGTTTTTTTAAAGTCAGCTATTTAAAATATATAATTAGAGTTTGGGTGACTTATCATACCTTTGAGATACAGAGCCATGGATAAATCAGGTGAACTCCAATTTTAGTTACTCAAGGTTTCAACTCCTTCAAAACTTACACTATCATACATTTGCCTTGGCTCAAACAGCAAACCTAGGGTTAAAACTGTGATTTGATTTATCCCTTATATTTCAAAGTGTGTGTGGGTTCCTCCATAGAGGCTAGTTGCTTTATTTTGGATTCTAGTGACAAGTTCTTGTAACTCAAGACAAAAAGAGAAATTGGAATTGGACAATGCAAAGCTAACCAGCATTACCTTAATGCATGTCATACTTGGACTCCTACAGTATATCTGACCATCAGATTATGTTTAAAACACAGAGTTCTATCAAAAGACATGAAACAGCGATAGAAGAGCACACACAGGATCCCAGAGTGATGCACTAACAGCAGCATTAATTTTCAGACCCCATTTTTCACAATGTTAACTGGATGACACTGCAAGTAGGAAAGAGTCTTGAAAAAGCTAGCACTTGTATCAGTGGGGTCTGAAAAGATCCAGCCAGCACTAGTCCGTCTGTTCTCAGTTATGTTACCATAAAGCCAGGTTGTGCTGTGAGAACTTCTAAGGAAGACTGTTTTCTTATGGATTTATCTCCTACGTGCCACATTCCAACCTAGCCATAACCCCTGCACATCCCCTACAATCACTCACACAGACACCTGGAATAGCCCTCCAGATAACCCCTTCTCCCATGTCTGCCTGTACAGTCCCTATCTTTGTCCCCTCTCGCTACGAGCAGCTTATGCTCCAGCAACCACTCTTGTGCACACTTGTGCACTCACAGGCCTGCTGGAGAAGTCGCACAGACTGCTGGGCTCAACTAACGCTTCTCCAAGAGACAGGACATTCATTTGGGTTTTTTTCCTCCTCTACCCAGCTTTCAGTTTTCAAAGACTTTCCTGAGACCTTTAGCACTGCTCAGACAAATAGAAATATGCCTCATTATCTTAAACCAGGCTAAAAAGAAAATTTGTTTCTAGAGATCTCTGATACTAAACTGTATCGGAAAGTACCGTATTGCAAGCCATTGAAAATATCAAACATGTAAACCATGTGAAAGATACGTATGTTGTTTAATGTTAAAACATAACCTGTGTTCAAAGAATGGCTTAATGTCATCAGCTGCTTAAATAATACTGAGATTAGCTTATATTTCTATGGTTGAGACCTGTAGGACTATTAGGGTGAATACAATAGTATTGCTTCCTTCTAGATGTATTCAAAATGGCAATGCTGCGATCCTTTGACAGAACACTGAGAAAAATAATGCAGACTTTTTTTTATAACTTTATGATGAGCTACATGCTATTTTACACCTTCCTTCAAGTTCTTGCTCCAGGTACAACTATACAAGAGTTGTCACTCTCAAGAAAAAGCATCAGTCCTCAGCAAAAAACTGTGACATTTGAAAGGCATAGACCCAAAAGAAAGGAAAAACATTTACGTAAATCATGTTTAGCTTTTCACAATGCTTAGCACAAGCATAACTTTAGAGGGCTGACTCCTGGCAATTGATTGCTTGGTGCCAGCAGTACACAAGAAAACCTGTTAACGTTAAAGCTCCTCATATCCTCTATTTTAATGCTTTGAGCTTCACAACCCCCATTCTGCTTCAGCCCTTTTCTCCTTTGCCTGACCCTCAGCTACACTTGTATTATCCTAAATATAGTGCACGACAGTGGTGCAAACACCTACTTACAGGAATCATCCAGTTGGCCAGGTCACCATACTTAGACACCTGCATAGCTCCAAGCATTGTCAGATCAACATGTCCTCTGGCAACAGAAAGTGTGTAATTAGCATACCATGTTCAAGTAACAGCCCACAAATCTTAACAAGCATTTGTTCACATTCCCATTACATCAGTATAAAAACGGTGGCATACCACAGAGGTAGCAACCATTTTGTCACACATGTAGTTGGCTTTTTTCCCCCTCTAGATGTATCGCTGATGCAAATTTTTCTGCCTACTAAGCCTCAAAAATGTTATTACTTTTGTCTGGTTTTGGTTAATTGCATGCACAGTCAACCAGCTCTGAACTCATACTTTTAAGTGCACTCCTTCACATATTTACATGCACTCATTATCTTTTCAGAGCCATTAGGATTTAGTGTTTGTTTGCATCCAACCTCCTTCCTGAAAAACAAACAAAAAACAGGTGCAGATGGTGAATTTCCATTAGGAAGGCGGAATGAGGATCACAGTTGCAAGCTGAGCAAAGAGAATATGCAGAGTGCAAGTGCAGATTAGACACTTGGAAATGACCAAAAAGTAGTTGTTAAAACATAGTTATAAATGCGTTTATATATGGCCAGGTGGTGGTAGATACGATCACTACAGTATCTATTAGTTACGTTGTTTTTCTATTTCCAATAGCTAGACCTAATCCTCTGTAAAGCATCACTGATTAAGTCCATCATCATTTTACAGGTTGTTAAATGCTAACCACATTTCAAAGAATTACTAATGAGTTCAGTCACTGACTCAGTTTATTCTTTTCATGTTTCAAAAGATAAGGGTTTGTGTTGTTACGTACCCTCTTATCATCGCGAATGATTCATCGCTTGAGAAATAGGAAGAACCTGGAAGAACTGTGACTGTCTCCTTACCTGTAAAAGAAAGAAGCTATCGTATCCTGTAAAAGAAATTAACTATAATATGTATGTATTTTGTCTCTTTGACAAATGACGTTACAGCTATTAACCAAGAAATAAGTTTTTTTTATCAAATTCCTTTGGATTCTGTACAACTACGGACCTGATTACACTTACTATGTCACATGTAAACCTAATCAATCATAATGAATTGTGAAGCAGTTTGTTGCAGTGATAGGTTTGCCCGCTCTCTGACCGCCAGCAGTTCCAGGCAAGACATTGCTGACACCAGAGGCTAAGAAATCTCTGTGGACTTCAGCTTTCTTCTCTACCCACAGAAAAAGTGAGAGGTAACTCTCTTTTGAAACAGAGAAGAGCATCTTCAGGAGACAGGGAGGTTGCAAGGAAGAGTGAGCAGACCAAATTGAGCAGTCTAGAGTGATAATGATGTAGAATACAGAAAAATAAATGACAGATCTAGACTGCTCTTGCTTTATTACAGTGCACAAGAAAATGTGCTTCTGTGTGCTGTACTGTTCTCTGCACAGTGCTTGGGTCAAGCAATGGAGTGCACGTGGAAATGTCTTACTTTGACTGTGTCCAGAGCCCTCTCTTTCCTCTCCTGCCAGCATTTTGAATCAGTCTAAGCAACAACCATGTCTACAGAGTGCCTTTGGAAAGGCATAAGAAACACAGCTGAAGGTGAAATTATGAACCAAGCATGGGAAACTTGAGAGAAAAAAAACAAAAGACTTCAGCACCAGATGACATTGTGAAGAAAAAGTTAGTGTAACAACAAAGGGGAAGAGGAATGAGACATCATTAAACAGTTCCCAGAAAACAGGGAAAAAGATACAATGAAATTGACTGAGAGGATGGGAAAAGGGAAGGAAACACTGTAGGAAAGTTAAAAGAGAGACCTACGTTACCTGCTTTAATTTATTGAGTTCACTTGATGTATATTATATGCCAAGACATTGTATGGAAATTAAATTTTGACACACAAAATGGTGTAGAATTAAGGTCATACAAGTGGTCTTGCAGTCAGATCTCAAGAATTCACCATGCTAGACCTGCTGAGACTGCATGAATTGTCT